GAACTTATCGAAATAGTAACCCATCGTCATTCGATCGAGGTCGATCTCTTCTCTTGGCGAAGGCCCTTGGCCTTAAAGGGTGTTATTTCGAACTTATTGAAATAGTAACTCGTCGTCGTTCGACCGAGGTCGAACTCTTCTCTTGGTCAAGGCCCTTGGCCTTAAAGGGTGTTATTTCGAACTTATCGAAATAGTAACCCGTCGTCGTTCGAGTTTTTGGAGAGCCAGATATCTTCTGGGAGAGTCCTAGTCCGTTTGGCATTGCTCGTAACGGAGGGTACAATGTCGGAGAATATGAAACGCTACTGTTTCGCTTAGGTTTGCTCTGCGCACGAAATGTAGTTTCCTTGTCTGGCCCGTGTCTTCTGGCTAGGAGGTATCTCAAGCGGGCGAGATCACAGTTGTTTTGTAGTAGTTATTCGTCCTTTAATTGAGGTGTTTCTTTATTCGTTCGCCTGCACGGCCATTGTATTCTTACTTAAGCAGAGATTAGGAGGCGAGTTAGAATGAAACTTTCCTTGCCCTCGTCTGGTGGTCCGATGAGGGAGAACTGATTGGTAACGTCGTTTACCTTGTTTGGAGTATCGATGGTTGATGGGGCTGAGGTTTCTAAGCTTGATAATTTTGTTCAGCTCTCCTCCCCCTATTGCACTGCTCCTTTGTCTCACGCGGGTTGGATTTTTCCTTCACGCTCTTTTTGGTGAGTGATCGTATTTCTTGTCTTTGATCAGGGAGAGACTAGGAAATTTCACTAAGAAATCCCCACAGACGACGCCAAATTGTTTGACTCAAAAGATATTAAAACCTTTTTGAACAAAACAATCAAAGATGAAGGGGCAAATATTAGTCAGACATAATAAATTCCAAATCAAAGAGCTTGCAGTGTGGATCATACTTAGGATAAAGGAAATATAAATGATCTTATTGAGATTCAACATTGTATCTCCCATCAATCGATGAGGAGATCGCTTTACATGTTTTCCTAGAGATTCACTCTTCCCTATCAAGAATACTAGAAGAGAGCTTTTTAGCTTTAGAGAGAGATAGGAGAAGCAACCCCCCTTTGTTGAAAGCTTTCCCTTGTTATATAGTCGTGGCACTCTTGCCCTTTGCTTGGCTCGACGTCCTCTTGCCTTCAATGTGTATTAATCGTGCTTTTAGGCGCAGCTCTTGCCGACTCGTCGGATGCCGAGAAAGGGATATGGAGCGGGCTATACTATCTTTCACTTCCCGGTCACTTAGGCGGGACGTTGGTCAGCTCGGTCATGACGGTCAGATTTTGATCAATACAGTAGAAACAATGTGTGCCAAAACTGAATAACGTGCCTCGTGCCTTACAACTACTTAAGCTTATAGCAGTAGATTCTAAAACTTCGTATTGAGTTTTATCTGGTCATTCACTTTTCTATTTGAGCTAAAAGTGTTAAATAACTGCTCGAGCTTAACGGAATTTTAAGGCGAAATACATAAACGACTCCTTCAAGTTGTCCTCAATGGTCAGCCAGACATCTCAACTGAGCCCATTTTCAGTTGGACACTTCTTCTCCACTAAAGTACGACCTCTTGAACCCTTCACACTGACATGGCAAAGTGTGTGCTTTATACTTAATTCTAAGCGCGTGAAACCCTCAAAATTAAGGTTTTTTTCTTTTTTCTTTTAAATTTAACTTTATTTTATGTGGGTCCCATTATATTTTATTTTTCACACATTAATTTCACTTTCTTCCCAAAATATTCCATCTTCACCAAATCAGTAGTGCCTCTTCCTTCCGCCATAAATCCACCCCTCTTCTTCAATCTTGAAAAATAATGTAACAACTAATAACAACCACTGCGTAATAACAATTTCATTGACCCCCCACTTCAATTGCTACTTCAATTGCTCGTCTTTGCTTCAAATCAGCATTCTCTGGCAATGAAGTTTCTGTGCTTACACTCGAAGAGTGAGGATTCAATGAGGCTAAGAACAAACAAACCAGAACTAATGGTTTTGGGATTACCTTCTAAGAAATCAAATGATTGTCCGGCGAAGGATCTTTTTGACCAAAAGTGGTCATCAATGAATGACCACTGACTTTCAGATTTACAACTTAGTCAGTGGTGCATACATTGATGACTACTAAAGTCGAAGAGAAGACGAATTTCGGTGAGTCAACGAATGTTTGTCCAAGTTCCGGCAGCCGTGAAATTAGATGAACCTGCCATCAATCGATAGCTCTAACTGAGAGTAATCGATTGATGTTAGTATTAGAACCAAACTGGCCAAAATTTGGAAAAAAAATCACAAAAGGGATGGATCTAGGTTTTCTGAAATTCTAGATCTACTAATTGGGGAATTTGGGTGGTTTTTCTGGGGAAATCAAAGGTAGATTGGATTGAGGAGGGTCTTGGGATTGTGGGGGTGAAGATTTGGGGTTGTGTGGAGGTGGCCCGCCGCCGTGGGAGATTTCCAGCGGCTTTCTTCTCTTCTTCTGGTTTTTTCGCCCTTCGGCGACGAGGAGGAAGGGCTGGCGGTGATTCTTTCTTTTTTAAATTATAATTATTGCTTTTTTTGTTTTTGTTTTATAATAGGTGGCAAATTTTTTAATTAAAATTACACATGGCATTTTCTCATTTGTTCGTTTGACATAAATCCGAGAGTGTATTTCACGCGAAGGCGAGGTGGGCTGATGAGGTCAATTGTTTAATTGACCTACTTTACTGAAGGCTTGAAGTGTCCAACTGAAAATGGGCTCAGTTAAGGTGGCCATTTATGTATTTCGCCGAACTTTAAACTATCAAGCCAATGACCCGTTTTCCCCTTGAAGTTAAATTATGATCCATGTTTCTTGGAATCACGAACTTTCCGCGAACAGTTTTTAAATGACGTTCACCCTTGACAATTTAACAAGTCATAGAATATCATCCTCGCATCGCCAATTAGATTGGCTAGAGAGGATCAATTTTACCTACCCGAGTAAAAAAAGAAAAAAAATCTGGCTATTAAAAGATATAGAAACGGCAGATTTCATACGGCATAGAATCTATATACAAGCTGGTCATTCTCTTTAAAACTGATTCTTACAGTCGAGGATACTGCGCAGCACCAAGTAACCAACCTAAGAGCCATGCAATCTACATTACCTCCTATACAAAGGCGAGGGAACATGTTTTATCTACACATAGCAGTGTCTTTTGGAATGGAGATTCTAGTATGCAAGCATTAGTCACCGAAAAGTCCATGTTTATCCATCAAACCATCAACACTTGGAAGACCATCACACACCAAGGTTGTCTACATTGGGGATCTATTTGCTCGTCGGAACCAGGTGGTAAATGCACCGACCAAGTGAGGACAGTCATCAACATTCCTAGTTGAAAAGCTGAGACACTGCTGCAATAACTCCTGCGCATCAGGCAAGGTAAGTGTGGATATAATCCTCAAAAACGTGTCTTCCAGCTCCACATATACTGTTTTATGACTTGGCATCATAGGTGTTACATTGTCTTTGCACAAAATCAACACTGGAAGCCAATCTTTCACAAGCTTCATTCTTACCTGTTAGACTTAAGTGCATTAGAGAAAGGGAGTAAAGCAGAAGCCATCGTGGAATGAGTCACTGTTTATCAGTGAAGAACAACATTCACTTGACCAATTGATAAACACCAGAACAGAACAGCAGCAAAAAATCAAACTGCCACTGTTATTGTAGAATGCCCATGATTCTGGTTATGAATCAGTACATCTTTAAGACAGATCAATCATTTTAACAGTCAGTCAAAACAAGGACATAGAAGGTGCAAATCATGTCCATACTCAAAACCATTTCTTTGAAACATCCAAAAGTTTTAACTAATACAGAAGACATGTCAGAACATCTAACAGACAATCACCATTTGGATAAAGACCCATGAGACATGAAGTTAGATATTGCAAATGGATGGGAAAGGTTATAACTGAATAACCACAGTTATTTGATTTTAAAAATTATATAAGTCAAAATAGCAGAAAGCAGGAGAAAGCTAGTAAACAGTAAGACAATCTCAGTGCTATTCACTCCCAGAAGTATCCTTTGCCAATTCACGAATATGTTCAAGTGTAAGATGCTCCTAAGTCTTAAAGGTGTCTATGCGTGTTAATACTCCCTAATATTGCAATTAGTGAACGTACCAAAAAAACATAACTCCTAAAGCCCTCACAGCCCACACAAGTTACAGGTGTATTTCCTAGACTCCATGCTTGCAATTATACACAATAGAAAGAACCATTTATAAAACTATCAAAATACAAATGGACCTGTCTAGTAGCCAAGATAGTTCCTGCAGCGACTGCATTAGCAAGCTTGCAAGTGCATCGAAGCACAACTGCAGGGAGCCCAGGTACGATATTCCTCCATGCATCATCACGGAGAGCTCTCAGCAAGTCAGCAGTAAACGAGGCCTGATTGCTCCACTCTTGTACAGCTGCATCAGCCACTCTCAGTTCAATCATCCTCTCCAGCAACCACAGCAAATGCCTCCCATTCGTCATCGCAGTATGCAAATTCAACCTCTGAATTGCCTCAGTCTCATTATGATCACCTCTAAAATCAGGACTCGAATAATCCTCCAATGACTCCTTCACGATCTTCAAGCTACTCATAAAGGCACGGTCCAACACTCTCTTTGCTGCCTCTTTGGATGAAAAATCCCTCAAAAGTTTCGCTACAAATGCCTTAGCAAATGCCATGTTTGGATGGTTATGAAGTGCCGATAATATCAATCCATGAAGCATTTCTTCAGACGAATTGTTCTCATCAGTCGAAACCCTAGCGAGAAGCTCTTGAGATTCCTCCTTGCCTAAAAACGGAGCAAAATTGAGTATTTTCCTTTCTTCATCTTCGGTCCACGGTACGGCCTCCAGGAACCTTACACAAGCCTTAATGCAATCCTCGAATATTAGTTCCAAAGCCACCGGAAGTAAACACAAAGCTATTGAAACGGTATTGATAGTTGTGGAGAAGTCATTGGTGTATAGGAGTTGAAGAACAGTTAAATGATGATCGATTGATCCAGGAGTAGACGGAACACCGAGATTAAGCCGGAAGGTTCTAGAAGAGTTTCTTGAATCAACGACGTCGTTTGATTCCTTTTGCCAGCGATCAGATAAGAGAGCAGCGAAGTACTTACAGCGGCGGAGAATATCGGAGTGGAGATAGATCTGAACATCGGATTGATCAGAATCAACGGCTGAGATTGATTCGGAGTCGTCAGTATCGAACAGCGGCAATTGATCGACGAAGAGACGAAGCACGACGTCAGCCGTAGATGAATCGTTGAATCCGCCGCAACCAGCAGCTGCAGCACCGGCGGCGGTCGAAGACGATGGAATAACGGTGTGAGAAGATGTCCGGCGAATACCTGACGGCTTCTGAGAGCGTTCCGTTAGGTTATTATCCGGACGTGAAGAGTCAATGATTCCGATTGTTGAGGAAAGTCGGCTATTGCTACCTACACGTTGTCGTTTTTTGCCGGAGGTGACACCGGCGGTACCACCACCACCGCCTACCGTCATTCTGCTATAGGTTCTTCTGAATTCTGATGAAGACGAAGTTTCAGATAGGGACGAATGGGATATTGTTTAGAACAGTGTGTTGAGTTGTACATTTTCAATTTTAATCTTACATTTGGCAAAAAAGCTTCTACTAAACTTGAATCAATGGTTTGAGATGGGCGGATTTGGTTCATGGTGAGACAAGTGGATAAAATCGCGCTGATCCGACGTGTCCAGGGCCCATCTTCTGATAATACCACTTTTAAATTGTTGTATCTGTTCTGTGGAACAGGGATTCTGATATTTCTAATTGGGCCTAGGGCTGCTCGGTGGTCCTCCTAAGCCCGTCACGGCCGGTCTTCATGGTTGAGCCCACGAGTCCGGGACCGTCAGGCGGGCCTGGGCCGGGCCTGGCGGGCCCAACGGCTATTTTAAAAATAAAAAAAAAATTCTCCAATGGCGATATTTAAAATCTAACCGTTTGAGANGCTTAGCCCGGGACCGTCAGGCGGGCCTGGGCCGGTCCTGGCGGGCCCAACAGCTATTTTGTTTTAAAAAAAATAAAAATTAAAATTCTCCAACGGCCATATTTAAAATCTAGCCGTTTGGGCTGAAAATATGGTCGTTTTTAAGTTTAAAAAATGGCCATTTGGCCCCCAAACTTTATATGTTGTTATGTGCTTACCTTATACTTTTGCATCTAATCCTAATTGGGTTCATTATATTAGAAAAATTTTTAATCCTACTTATAAAGGTTGGCCTCGCGCAACAGTTAAGAGTGATATTTATAAATTCAAACATGAATATGAACAATATTTGCGGTATTTATTTACTCATATACCTAATCGGATTTCTATTACTACTGATATTGGTAGAAGTGGTAATGATTGTGATTATCTAACTGTTACAAGTCATTGGATAGATGAGGAATGAATAATGCAAAAATGCATAATTGCATATAGAATAATTAATTCGCGTCACACAAGTAAGTTTATAGCTACCACTGTTGCAGATATTTGTAGATATTTTTGCTTTAGCGATAAAATAA